GCTGTGCATCTCAGGCCCTGGGGAATGGAAAGAACGTGGTGATACTGAGGGCATGGTGGCACCAGTGACCAGAAGGCACATTAACATAGAAAAATCTTACTGAATAAATATCTGCAGAGGTGATAGGAATTGAGAGATGATTATTCAAAATAAAGAACTTGTGCTTTTATGATAAATACTGCGTGAAGTCCACAAATAGCAAATAATAAACGCTTCATCTTGCTCAGAAGTACCGAAAAGACAGTTGGCTTTGCTTCTTCCTATGAACTGCTCATTCTGTGTCTGTGGGTCACAGACAGCTCTCACAAACCTCAGCTCTGTAGGAAGACTTTTCCTCCCTTTGCAATCTGTTGTCTCCACAGAAGGAGTGACGTGCCCAGTACCCCCTGCTCTGCACAAATGCAAATCCTTTGAGATCTCAGTTGTCTCGTAAGCAGATCGGTTTTGTGTCCTCTCACCTTATAAGTCATTTGTTTCAATTCTTGAATATATATTGAAGTCACTGAGCTGCAGCGTGCCAGCAGTTCCCCCTGGGGCAGAGTGGAGGTAGCACATCTCCCAGCTGCGGTTTCCCCAGGCACAGGAGCACAATTCCTCACGAGGAGGCAGTGAGCAGAACCTGTGTGACTGCAGATTTATCTGTCTGAATGGACTTCTGGGCCCAAACTCAAAGTATGCATTTGCTATTAATGTTAGTAGGTCGCAGGCTGAGGTGCAGAGGGTCTGTGCCACGCCATCCTTCATCCTTTGCAGGTTAACAACTCATTGTATATTTTCTACTTTCAGTGTGTTTTTTCCCTCCCTTATTCCCTATGCTAGTCCTGTATTCTGGTTTGGTGCCCTGCAATATCTTATACTTTGATTTCCCACAGGGTCTTTCACTGCTGCACAAACCACTGTTTCAGCCTTCTGCCATACGGCTCAGGATCCTTCCTTTCCTCACATACAGCTTTGCCTCCCCAGGACCCTGACACTTTCCCTGCCTTCTCAGAGAGCAGGGCCCTATCTGTACTCTGCCCTGAGCACCTGCAGCTCCCAGCAGGGCTGTGCTGTGGCAGGGGGCTGGGCCATTTCCTGGGGCGTGCAGATGCGAGCTGTGATGAGGGTCAGGTTGGAAGCACGTTACCTGCTATAGTAGGAGAGAACAGTGAAAGGCTGCACGTGAACTGCTGAGTGCAATGGTGCTACAAGCACTTGGTTTGGGAAGTGCAGAGCCTCAGCCAGGCTAGGTGAAGTCTGCTGGCTTTTCTCAGGCCCTGAGCACAGCAAAATCCAAAGTCATCATTGGAAAGAGACAAGAGCACAGAGTAAACCTTCATGTGCAGCTGCAGCAAAGTGGAATTAGTGGCAAAAGCCCTAATGAAACACACCTCCGAGCTCTTAGCATTCCATACTGCAGACAGCTGAGGCCTGCATCCAGCTGACAAAGCCCCGTGCTGGGATGGATCCGTTCCTGGCACAGCCTGGTATCAGCTCGTGCTGGTCACAGCAGCAGGGCTCAGGCTTGGGGGTTATGGGAGCCGTAAGGGCAGCCCGTGCTCTGAATCCCCCCATCCATGGGTCTCCTGCAGCTGTTCTGTGTAAAAATGAAATCTCGACTGCAAGTGGAAATTAATCTGAGAAGGTTACAGCCCTGCTGTGCCTTTCTGAATGCTGGGACATGGATCCACAGCAAACAGCAGCACTGCTGCAATGCTGCAGCCAACAGACAATGGAAACACACTGCTCAGAAACGGGGGGAGAAGTAATTGGGTTAACTGAGGAGGAGGAGCACTTTATGATAGGCACTAGGGGTGAAGTCATGTGTAAATTCACACAAATAACTTTGTTACTTTTAAGATCTGCTGAAACATCTGGCAACAACACGCGAGGAAGAGGAAACTTTTGTTTTATGCGTCAAGACCTTTCTATGAGGAAAAGAGAACTTCAGCTAATTACAGGATGCCTGCAAGAAAAGAAGCAGGTTTGATTTCCACCAGTATTTTTTTCTGCGACACAATGCCCAGTAAGAATCAGCAGCGAGTGGCTGAGACTCACAGCCTGGCTGCTCTGTGCAGTGTGTGCGACTGCGGGTCTGCATGGCATGGGGCAGTCTGGGTACCACTGCTTCCATCCCCTGCACGCTCACAGTCCCACGCAGCAAATCCACTGCCAGAGGACAGGAGCACAGGGACAGGACCATCGCTTGGTGCTGCCTGGGAGCGGGCGGTGGGCAGGATCACACTCTGCAGCCCCGCATGCATGCAGCACTGAGGGCAGCACAGAAAGCAGTGTGGGAGCTCGGGGGACTGCTGGAGAGTCAGGCCAGCTGAATGGCAATTTGTGCGGGTAGAAATGCCCCAGAGAGGCAGATGTGGCTGCGAGAGGAAGGCCTGACCTTGTGCAGTGCTCTGAGAGGTCCGTGAATTGCTGGGTGTGAAGACTCAGTCTGGTGCAAGTGATAAAATAATAGGATTTGATTTTCCTCTTATTTGCTCCTATTGGAGACTGGAATGCTTTAGTAGTGACAATGCAATGAAGGGGCACATTAACACACAATTTGAAATGCTGAGTGAATATCCAAGCACATTGCCGTGTAATTCTGGCACAGCAGATGCACTGCAGGAGTACAGAATGCAGAGGATTATACTTGTTTTGTTTTAAAGCAAGTCATGCCTTCCCATGTTAGTAACTACAAATCATTCTATAAGTGCAGGGCTTGTCAGCAGTAAAACAGAATTATAGACAAGTGGGTTTAAAAATGAAAAGCAGTTCAGGATTCGAGACCGTACAAGTTTTAAGCTCAGACTCATGACTAAAATATGTAAGGAAAGGTATAAGCAAAAGAGGAGTGCTGCCGCTGAGAAAGTCCTATGAAACATCAGATACTTTTTCAAACATCTGTCTTTATCACAAGAGCTGCAGCCCCTCCTTAAACTGAAAACACAAATCCCATTTCTGCCACTGCCAGCACTGCAGGACCTGACCTGAGCCCGGGAGGCAGCAGCAGGTTTGCGTGTGCCACAGGACCTGCTGCATATGGAGACAGTGCTGATGGCTTTGCTTAAATATCACACTTCTGTGTGCAGAACGTGGGAAATTAAATTTAAAGATGCACGTGGAAATTATGATTGTATTCCTTGAAACAAAAATCTGTGATATGTGGCCTTGGTGTTTACATAAAAAGATGATTGTCTACACTTATTATTCCTTGTTTTATTGGTATGATCAAGTATAACTTACAGATTACCTTGGGTTTAAATAGGCTTCTTCTGTGTGGGAGATGAGCAAAAGTATCATCACTCCGACATCACAGTGATCAGTGCCAAAACTGCAGCGCCAGAAATAAAGGCAAATAAAAACAAAATCATTCTGTCCCATGTTTAGAAGTACAGTAAGCTGAAGGAATACCCAAACACTGTGGTGATGCAAAGCCCACAGAACAGGGTTCTCTTGCTCTAATTATAATTCTTGACCTTTTCCATGCCTTCCTCAGTTCTAACATGTCCCTGCTGAGATGGGCAACCACAAGACCCACAGCACACAAGATGCAGGAATGCAGGGATGCTCGCAGGTATACCCTCTCCCCCTTCCCTCCCATTTCCTAACATGCCAGTTTCCAGCAGGGAGATTGCTTCCACACAGTTACGTATCTCTTTTTTCCAATACCTAATTTATAGGTTCTCACTGCACATATCCATACTTTTCTTCCTGCATTTGGCATTTCCATTGATTACTTAAAATTGACAGCCTGGTATTCTTACCACCTGGTCACTCATTACAGCGAAACACTCCTGCAGCTCTTTCCAGTTAGTTTCTGCAGCTTTGAATAATTTATCATAATTTATCATCTCCTGCCCCCTCCTCCATTTTTCCAGTTCATGGATATCTTGAATGGCACAGCTCCTACACAGATCTCTGTGGACTTCAGTAATCACCTCCTTTGGCTTTGAAGCCATTTCTACCTACCTTTCACTTCTATATTTTAACCACTTTTTGTCCCTTCCCATTTCCCCTTGGTAGCTTATTTCCTCTGACCTGAATGCTGCTCTGAAATAGCAAGAAGCAGAAAGCGGAGGAATAAAGCCAACTTTTTATTAAAAGAAGCAAATTCAAACGATAGGCCCTGTGCTGCTGGATGGAATCCCTGGGGGCAGCCAGAGTAACCTCCAGGAAATCACCAGCACTGCGCTGTGGGGAGCAGGACCTGCCATCCCACATACAGATGGGAGCAGTTCCCAGCTGCTGCACAGGAGGAATGGGAGGGCTCACTGCAGGATGAGGACTGCTCCATTGGCAGTAGGAACGTGTAAGTAGGAATGTGTAAGGAATATGCATGTAGGTTAAAGACACTGAAACAGGTGTAGAATTTGACTCTCCTGGATCCATGCACAACTTTCCAAAAACTGTTTTTCAACATTTAACAGCCAGACAAACCTGCTGCCACAGCAGCAGAGCTCACACGCAGCACACATTCTGCAATGCTGTGAGGTACAGGGCTCCCTGCAGACGAAGAGGAGCTGGATCTCATCACCAGCCATGGATCAGGATCACTACGAGAACTTCCAGCAGTGCTGGTGAGTGTGCCCATGTGTTCCACACACTCCGAGTGGAGCTGGTCTCTGTGTGCCCCGTTCTGTGCAGCTGAAGCCCACTGGGTGCTTTGAGCATCCGTGTAAAGCCGTAGGTGCCGCTGCTTTGGGAGAGCTGGTCAGGTACAAACCTGTTACATCCCTCCCCCCTCACTCTGTGGGCTCTTTGAGGGCAGCCCCCCACCTGCACTGGGGGAGAAAGCCAAGGGCTGGGATGGGACAACTTCTGGGAGTGCAAAGTGAAATCAAGCCAGAGAGCGTGTAAGAGCAGAGAGGAGGATAAAACCAAACCAAACCAAAATCAGAACGGATGCAATTGAACACGCTTATCACATGAGAGCCTCCAGACGATCGCAGGACAGGAGGATCAAAGTATGATGTAACTATTGAACCGTTTCCTTCAACCTAAACATAGCTGGCCCTTGCAGCACGCTATTATTGGCTACAGATGGTGCATGTGTGTGTGTAGGAGGAGCCGTGGCTCTTCCTGCAGCTGTGCAGCCCTGCAGCATGCACACAGTGGGGCAGGCCCTGCAGGCTACAATGTGATCTGCACCAAAGGGCTGGGCTGTGAGCCCTGCCAACACCGGGCACCTCACCCTGCTGTGGGGACACAGAATGGGGCAAGAGGGCAGCACAGAACGACTGCATGGGGAAAGAGGGAGAAGTGTGGGCCCCTCCATTCTCCCTCCCACTGTGTGCAGCTCAGGAAGGGCCCCAGTGGGCTCACAGCTTTGTTACAGAACGGAGAGCTGGAGGAATGCATTGGCTGGCTCAGGCTGCTGCAGGGAGGTTGGGCACTCAGCTCTACACCTCCTTGCAGGGCAGCTGTCACACTGCTGGGGTCATGGCTGCAAAGCGCTTTGTGATCCACAGAAGATAGGGACTAGAGAAATACATGGATAAAACAATGAAAACTAATATTAGAATAACATTCAGTCACCTTTAAAGAGGAAGGATGGAGCAGCTTATGGGCTGTAACTTACAGCAGCTACAGGACTTGTCAGAGGTTGGTATGTTGCCCCCAAAAGACTCTTTCATGTTTGCACAAGAAGACAACGTCAGACTTCTTCCATACCTGCAGTAACAAGGCACAAGACTTGAAAATATTGCACAGGAAGAGAACAGCACAGTGGTACAGTCTGCTCTGCAGGGCATGGCGCAGCCACCAGAGCTGTGTCAGCACAGTGCCATCCCTGCAGCACAGCCACCCCCGGCCAGCCCTGCCCTGCAGCTCACTGCTGCTGCCCTGCTTCCCCTGGCATTTGAGCAGCGATGCTCTATTTGGGCGCACACGTTTCTGCTGCCACCCAGAATGAAAGTGAAACCCAGTGCTATTTCTGTCCTCACTGAGCCTGGCTGCATGGCATGAGGACCCGCTGTGCCTCCAGATGGAGGGAGTGGGCTGCTCGTGGGGTGCTGGGCTGCAGAAGGCATCTCCCTGAAGGGCCGGTGGCTATTTCTGCTGAGACCTTTCTAAATAACTGAAAAAGAAAACAGGAAACCGCAGTGCTGTGGACTGGAGCCCGACGTGCTCTCATGCATCTGCTGTTACTGCTCTGACCACCATTAGGCGATGAAAACTCACAGGGATGCTGTTGAGAAGACGAAGGAAATGCATAAGAGCACTGCAACATTGATGTGTGCTGCCACTGGTTAAGGGGAATGGCCCCTCAAAATTCATGACACTTGTACAGCACGGCCTGGAAGAGCTAATGTTACAGACAGCATTCCCAATTAGTCATAAAGAAGTAGCCTGAACAGCAAGGAAGAGATGGAGCGTCCTCGAGTCAAACCGCCTGGGCAGGGACAGCACTTGTGGTCCCTGCACTTAGGGTAACCAGAGAAGAGATTTGTGCCCGCTGCCTTCGCAGAGCATTTTACACCCCTGGCATTTTACATACAGTTAGTAATAACCAGTCAGGAGAAAGGTAACACACATCAATGCACAAATTCAATTAGGAAGAGAAAATAAAAATATAATCTGAATCACTAAGCTAACGTGATGCATTTTAACCTTGAGTTCAACATCGGTTTGGTTTGGATGAGGAGTTCTAATCAGATTTAAAGGAGGCTTCGAAAATTAGTAACAGATGTGAATGAAACAGATAATGATTTTCATTCTTGATTATGTGACCAAGGTTATAGACAGTGGGGAGGGCGCTCCATGAAAATAATTTGGCTAGCATGCTTGTGGATTTTCTGGTACAGATTAATACCTTACAACTTTCCCTCATTTACCAAGGTGAAGAGTGATCAATTCCCAGTTATTCCAAACACAGATATAAAAATTGACAGCCTCTATTTCCCATTACTTTCCTCAAAATTTAATCAGCAATTGAATGATGCGCCTTGCTTCTCTAGCAGGATGAAGTGCCTTCTCTAGAGGGAAGCAATGCCACGGCTGTCCTTCAGTGCCAGACAAGAGGATGTTAAACCTTCTAATAGGCACACGAGGAGCTACGGCTTGTGTAGCCAGCCTGACAAGCAGCCCACTGCCACGAGAAAGGCAAAAGAAAGGGAAGAAGATGTGCCAGGGACACTGGCAGGGTTAATCACTGCATTCTGCTAGCATGGATCTGCACAAAAAGCCCAGCACAGCACCAGGTCCCGCTCGCAGCCTCAGCTTTCCTGCTGCAACTATGTTGTAACTTCAGAAAATCAAAATTAAGAAACCAAATGCAAACAACAAAAAAAACCATGTAGAGCAGAGCGCAAAGCCTTGGGGGAATGTGGGAACTGACAGCTGGCGCCTGCTTTCAAAACAGGGGCCCAGAGATAATTGAATTTCTGAAACCATTTCAATCTGCATGTAAAAGAAGAGGAATTTGTTGATTGTTGCGTTTTCCTATAGGCACAACTGGCAGAGAGACAAGCTGGGTGCACCGCTGAGTCACCATCACACATCTGCCGGCACCTCCCTCACCCGAAATGGGGAAAAAGTGATTGGGAGACATCTGTAATGAGCCCATGAGGTGCTGAAGGAACCACGATGGGCTGTGCTGAAGTTCAGAGAATGGAAACAATCACAGAACAGCTATGAAGTCCACAGTGAGCATCAGAACCTATCGCGGTTTAAACACTTCACCTGGAACAGGACTTATCCTCTCCTGAAGAAGCCTCTTGTGATGCCCACAGATACACACACCCACGAAGGTCTGTAAGCCTGCATGGCCCTGATGTCCTCATGTCCCAAAATGCAGCCTTGCACGACATCGACGCCTGCATTTTCAAACTACTGCACATTATTTTACCAACTGCGTATTTTCCCGTACTCTATGATTTTCTGAATGCTCCAAACTACAAGAGAACTTCTGCTTTTTGCTAAATAATGCAGGTTATATAACACAGCCAAGCTAATAGATTGAAATATAAATGACTTAACCCTCTCTTTCCCTGCAGTTTCAGATGTACTTGGTTGCATTTAGGATCTTTAAGCACTGGAGTGAAGAGAGAATACAGAGACAAATATGTTGTTTGTTTTCCCAGTGCCAGATGGATGGATTCAATTTTCAAATTCCTTAAACTGCCAACATTGAAAAGTCAGAAAAAAAAAAAAAAAAGATGGGAAGAATGCATTTGTTTTAAAGATCTGTCATGGTTCCTATAAACTGCACAGATTTTTTGTGGCATTTATGACAAAATTGATGTCACATGTCCGTTCTATCACTTGCATCTGACGGCGCTATCTTGGTAAGAAGTTCAAGTACAGTTAAAATAAGTGAATATAGTCTTTCTTTTTCTCCCTGACCAGCTCTGTTTTAAGCACAGGGGCTCCTCTCTCCAACACATGGGGTTTTGCTGCTATCCCCTTTGCTTGCTCTGGTCCCAGCAGGAACGACTTGCAGTGCTGATGCTGGTGGCACAGCCCTGCCTGCATGCAGGGTGCAGCATCACCCCAGGCTGCCAACTCAGCGGGGCTGAGGGACGGCCGGGCAGGAATGGCCCCTCATGCTGTGCATTGCTCCTGGAAGGCGGTCATTTTTTCCCGTCGGCACTGAACACTTATCACAGCTGTGTGCTGCATGGAGAGGCAAAGCTAGAGGGGGTGCGGGGGGAGCACTCAGCAAAGGTCATCCTGTTTAACACTTTATTTCCTGTCTTCGAGTTTCAATTAATTTAGATTGTGATTTCTAAACAGAACTTTCAGCCAACGAGAAGTGGACAGAGTTCCTCTGTTTCCCTGACAACTTCCTACCTTATGCAGGGATAAACACATTCTTCCTTATTTTCAGCATTCCCCCAAGATGACAGATCTCTTAACACCAGCTTCCTCCTGCACACTGCAAGGGGTGAAGCAGCCAGCACACAAAGTGCTGAGCAGGAGGCCTTAACCCAGCCAGGGAGCCAGCCCAGCAGCTGCATGAGAGCAGACCCTGCTCTGCCACCCCAATGCAGGGCTGGCTGCCCATGGGAGGGAGTGTTTATAAAGCCACCAAAAATAGCCCACAGGATAGCACACATGCTCAAGGGATAATTTGCACTGTATACAGTGAACACTGAGCACTACAAAACCAACCACCAACACAGCCAGCTGTGACCACCAGCAAGGTGTCCATCTGTGAGGACACGGGCACCCGGACAGCAGTGCTGTGTGAGGTTAACAGAAGCCTGCCTTGTTTCTTGCTGTTTGTCAGGAAGCACAGACAGCCAGGTATGAGTTAGACATTACCTACACATCAAGAAGCCTGACTGGGGAAAAAAAAAAAGATCATCAATAATAAGCAATGAGGTAAAAATCCTGAGCGATTTTCAGTGCGGTGTTGAAGAACCAGTCAACTCCACTGCAAATTCATGGAAGGCGAGGGTATTTCCCATTCTTTCTCTTGCTGTTATATCACAAGATTAATTTTTCCACTCTGGTTTTAATCTCACAAGGACTGAGAAAAAGGTTGAGTCTCGAGCACCTCTAACTAGAGCAAGCCCTGCCTCGGCTTCCCCGGCACGCATCTGCCTTCTTGCAGTTTCATTTCCTTAAAGGAAATAGACTCATTCTGCTTTGAGACCTTTTATTTCTCCTAGGCACACATGCCATAAAAAGGTAATTAATATGTAATCACAGACTAATTAAATATGCTCTTTTATGTTTTGCATTCATAAATCACAACTAACAGCCTGAACTCTCAGGTCAATGGACGTCTTTATCCCCTCCTGTTGTCAGATTTCTGTATTCCTGTCACAGTCCTGCCCCACAGAAGGCACTTTTGGGCACTGTGCTGTGTTTCAGGTAGGTGAGGGCAGTGCTCATTGGGCTGAGCAGCTCCCCAAAGAGAAGACAAGAGGTCCCTGGCAGGGAGCATTGCTTGGTGATCCTACAGCCCTAAGCTCTTCCAAAAAGTCCCATGGAATCAGCACAACCCCTTACCAAATAATGAAATGGTGATGTGCAGTGACTTACCCCCACCTAAGTCCCCCTTTTTTTTTTTTTTTACCAAATTTGTTTCTTCCTGATCTAACCCACCTGCGGGGAAGCTTTCTTTCACTGCCAGGGTCCACGAGGGCCAGATGCACTGCTGGGATGTTCAGTGCTTCCAGCCTGCGCTGCTTCGCAAATCAATGGGATTTCAGCAGGAAAAAAGAATGGAAGCTTCACTGCCTGCCTGACTTTTGCCCACAGAGCCCACCTCCATGCAGGGCCGGGGCTCTCCTGGCAGGCTGTGTCCCCAGGGCTGCGGGACGCCCCTTCCCAGTGTGAGCACCGATTCACAACGTGCTCTGTAAGCCAGGGAGCACCAAAAAGAGAGGCTCTCGCTACCTGTCTGCTGAAGCCTTGTGTGAATCACCAAACTATCACAACAATCCGGAATAATTGGCAGTTTTCCACTTGAAAAAACCTATTTTACTTCACTTGTCTGCTGGGTCTGAAAGGAACTGTTATTGTACAACATCCAGAATTCCAGGAAAACCCGCAGCTCCCATTACACAGTAAGTTCTCAGTTTCCAGAAACAATCTCTACTAACCAGATAAGAGTCCTTTTAATAATTCTGCTGCCTGTGTCACCTTCGCCTTCAAATGGTAAATCTGTGCAGCAGCTGCACCACGCGCCCTTCCCTTCCTAATGAACTCCTTAATGAGGC